CTGTGTGAGCAACAGAACACTGCAGAAGTGACAGGGTGTAACTCCCAAGTGTAGCTCATAAAAGACTGGAGCTCAGTCAGCCACTTACGTTGGTAAGTATAGGATGTTAAAGAGGCCGCGGGGGAGACACTGAAGCCTCACAGTAAAAGACAGTACCCACATGCCAGCCACATGCATGAGCGACCTTGGAAGTAGAGCCTTTAGCCCCTGCACCAGTGAGGCATCCAGATGGCTGCAGCCCTGGCTGACATCTTGACTGCAACTTCATGAGGGACTCTGAACCAGAACCCCTCAGCCAAGCTGTTTCCCATTCCTGACCCACACAAACTGTGAGAGATAATAAATGTGTATTGTGGTTCAAGCCACTACGTTTTGGGGTATTTTGTTAGGCAGCAATAGATAACTCATACAAGGTGGTATCTGGGCCACCTTGAGAAAGGTCAGATTCTGATCATCTTTTGAAGGGAGAGCCAACTAGGTTTGCTGATGGATGTACATGTTGAGTGCAGGGTTTTTTTGTTTATTTTTTTGAGACAGAGTCTCACTCTTTTGCCCAGGCTAGAGTGCTGTGGTGTCAGCCTAGCTCACAGCAACCTCAAACTCCTGAGCTCAGGTGATCCTCCTGCTTCAGCCTCCCGAGTAGCTGGGACTACAGGCATGCACCACCATGCCCGGCTAATTTTTTTATATATTTTTAGTTGTCTGATTAATTTCTTTCTATTTTTAGTAGAGACGGGGTCTCACTCTTGCTCAGGCTGGTTTTGAACTCCTGAGCTCAAACAATCCGCCCGCCTCGGCCTCCCAGAGTGCTGGGATTACAGGCATGAGCCACCGCGCCCGGGCTTGAGTGCAGGGTTTGAAAGGAAGTCAAATGTGACTCCATACTTTGGGTCTGAGCAGCAAATCAGTAAACCGCCCTTGTGGCGGGAAACAGTTGACATGGCTCTCAAGCTGTGAATCTGGAGTTTTCTCAGCCAAATAAATTCAAAGAAATTAGGAAGTTACCAGGTAATTCTGGACAATATTCTACTTGGGATTCTACCCCTGCTCTGCAAAGTGTTTTCCATATATCAAAGTGTGCTTTGTACTACACCAGTTTTTGTGGAAAACAAATTTGGCAAAGGCTCCCTTTCCTGGAGAGTCATTAGGCACACTGAAATATTTAGAGACTCTGGGGAACCCTAAAGTAATGAAACCCAGCTGCCTTTGTTTACTTCTCTGTTACCCACACTTGCTTGATCCTGAAACCTATTTTTTTTCATCACATCTATTAAAATACAACACCTTTTGGTGAATGCCCATCTTTCTTCTGCATGTTCTCATGACACAGTCCCTCGTTCCCATGGGATATTCAGAAATGCTTTCTGCGGGATAGCCCATCTAAATAACACAGTGCTTTATTTCTAGTAGCTCTAGCCAATATTTTATGTAAAAATTCTAGACAACTTAAATTTATTCTTTTAGAACCAATTTTAAGAGCTATATTGAGGTATAATTTCCATACCATAAAGTCCACCCATTGTATGTGATTTTTAAGTGATTGTCGGTAAATTTAGAGAGCTTTGCAACCATCCCTGCAATCCAGTTTTAGAACACCTCCATCACCCCAGAAGGTTCCCTTGTGCAGGTTTTCAGTCAGTCCCCACTCCTTTACCCAGTGCCAAGCAACCACTGACCAACTTCCTGTCTCTATAGTTTTGCCTGCTCTTGAAATTTCCTATTAATGAAATCATATAATATGTAGTCTTTTGTATTTGTCTTCTTTAACTTAGCATGTTTCTAAATTTCATCCTGACATTAAATGCATCAGCAGTTTATTTCTTTTTATTTTTGTAGTATTCTAGTATGTGGTATGCCACATTTTATTTATCCACTCATTAGTTCAGGAACATTTGGATTACTTCCAAGTTCTGACTGCTATGAATATTCACATAGCAGTCTTTGCGTGAACATACATTTTCATTTCTCTTGGGTAGACAGCTAGGAGTGGAATTGCCGGGTCTCATGGTGTTAAGTGTAACTTTTTAAGTTGTCAAACTGTTTTCCAAAGTGACCACATCGTTTTATTATACATTCCCACTGCAATATATGAAGGTTCCAGTTTCCCCACAGCCTTGTCAGCACTGGTAGTAGCAATTCTAGCAAGGGAGAAAAGCATCTCTTTGTGGTTTTAATTTGCATTTTCCAAATAACTAATGATGTTGAGTATATTTTCTTGAGTTTATTAGCCCTTCATATGTCTTCTTTTGTGAATTGTCTATTCAAATCTTTACCCCCATTTTCTTATTGGGTTGTCCTTTCTTACCACTGAGTTGGAAGAATCCTTTCTGTAGTCTGGATACAAGTTTTTTATCAGATATATGATAGATATAGCATATGATATGACATCTATGATTGGCAAATATTTTTCCCAGTCTGAGGCTTGTATTTTCATATTCTTTTTAAAAAATGTATTTATTTATTTTTAAATTAATACATTGTAATTGTACATATTTTGGGGGTACAATTTGATACTTCAATACACATATATGTCATATAATGATCAGATCAGGGTATTTAGCATGTCCACCACCTTACGCATTTGTCATTTTCTTGTGGTAAGAACATTCAAAGCCCTCTCTTCTATTTGTAATGTACTTAATGGTGTCTTTTGAAGAGTAAAATTTTAAATTTTGATGAAGTTCAACTTATCATTTTTTCTTTTATGGATCATGACTATGTGACTTATCTGTGAAATCTTTGCTTAACCCAAGGTCACAAAGATATTCTATTTTTTTTCCTAGAGATTTTAGAGATTTAGCTCTTAATATTGAAGTCATGGTGTATTCCGAGTGTTTTTTGATAGTATGAGATAACCAAGTTCAAAACTCTATTGACCATAAATATAAGAGTTTATTTTTGGACACTTTATTCCATTGATTTGTCTATTCTTATACTAATACAATGCTGTAGTGACTGCTATAGTTTTTTAGCAACTTTTGAAATGGGTGGTATGTCATCCAATATTGTTCTTTTTTCAAAATTGTTTTGTTTATTCTAGGACTTTTAAGTTTCCATATAATTGTTAGGATCAGCTTGTCAATTTGTACAAAAATGCCTGCTGATATTTTGATAGTGATTGCATTGACTCCACAGATGAATTTGGGGAGAGCTGCCATCTTAGTAATAATGAGCCTTCCAATCCACAAAAGAGATCTTTCTCACCATTCACCTAGATCATCTTTAATTTTTTTCAGCAGTGTTTCATAGTTTTCAGTGTGCAAGATTTTTGCTTCCTTGGTTACATTCATTCCTAAGTATTTGTTCTTTCAATGCTATTGTGAATGGAATTTTTTAAAATTTCATTTTTAGGTTATTCATTGCTAATGTAGGGAAAGACAATTGACTTTTGTATATTGAGCTAAACACACTTATTCTAGTTTTTGTTTGTTTTGTTTTGTTTTTTGGTAGACATGTAGGATTTTCTACATTCATGATCATGTCATCTACAAATAAAGACAATTTTATTTCTTTCTTACCAATCTGTATGACTTTTATTTTTCTTGCCTCATTGCTCTAGTCAGTATAATATTTAGTATGATATTGAATAGAAGTTGTGAGAGTAGAACATTCTTGACTTGTTTCCAGTTTTAAGACAAAACATTCATTCTTTCACCATTAAGTATGATATAATCTTGGGTTTTTCATAGATGCCTTTTAGACTCCTATTCCTAGTTTATTGAGAGTT